CTTTTTATTGTACATATAAGTATATGTATACAGCACAAACATAGACAGCCAGACATGTAAAATATCTTTTACCTTACAAGGCAAGCCAATCTGAATGTTATTAATTCTAATTATTCATATTAAAATAAATTACTAAGAATATTCATTCAAGAGTCCAAACCCATAGACTATGAATTAAGTCATCTGTGACCCAGTTCACTTCATAGCTAATGTGCACATTATTAACTACAAACAAGCTAACCCAGGTCACAATGAACTCATAGAGGGAGATTTATCAAAACTGAAGCAGACAGAATCTGGAGCAGTTGCCATGGCGACCAATCAGCTTCTCTCTTTCATTTTCAAAGCTTAACTGAAGAGAGAAGCTGATTGGTTACTATGGGCAACTTCTCCAGATTCTTCTGCTCCATTTCTAATAAATTCCCCCAAATGTGTGTGGCTTTGGATGCATTTTCTACACTTTTTTTAAATTTTACTTTTTTTTTTCATGGGGCTCAGTGGATACCAGTCGATCCAGACCCTCTCCCCCCTTTTCCTTTCCCCCATGCAGCTGTGGAGCAGCAGATCCCTTCTAAGGCCCCATTCACACTGAGCGACATGAAAATCGCTCAGTGTGAATGGGGCCTTATAGTAATCTATTGACTGGTTGCAATCAGCCAGCAATAGGTCACCATAGCCGTGATCTGTTGCTGCAGGGAGGTGATGGACAAAGCTACAACAGCTCTGCCCCGATCTCCGTACAAAGAGGAAGGGCTGTGACGCCACTCCAATTCTCATGTAAAAAGAAGATAGGCGTGCGCACCCTGAGTGCAACACCGAAATCGCAACAGATTTTAGTCCCTGAGCTGGTGGATAGATCACAAAGGTCTCACTGTGACCCGCTCAGCGATACAGAGCGCAGCACCACTTGGCGCTTATATTCCTTACATAACAGGAATTCTCGGTGCCTGGGAAGGTGCGAGGGAGTGTGGCTGTGGCTTCCCATCCAATCAGGAAGCCAGGCGGTTAGTCACATGACCACCTACTAGGCTCCCAGCTTCATTACTGCACCCCTGGTGGAAGAGGTAAGTGACAGTTGAAGAGATGGGAATCCGGGATGCCTCAGGGCTGTGTATGTATTATATAGAGTATATATTTATATGGATATATATAGATATATCTATATATATAGATATATCTATATATATATACACACACACACACACGTGTGTGTTTGTACTTTTCTATGCACACCTCAATGTAATAGGCTGCGCAAGCCTATGAAACAATGCAGACAAATTCTGTTTACATTCACTTTAAAAACAAGCTCCTATGGAGTGAGCTGTAGAAGTATAGGGAGCCAAGAGGCTGACACAATTAGCGCTGTACTCCGGCTGTCACAGACAGCTGACGGTCCCATCGCTAGTGTTAGTAGGGGCCCACAGGAGCCCCCAAGACCTGCTAGCACTTTTAAACAGCGCTGGGATGTATAGCCGATATCCCAGGGCCATTTTAAAATGCCGATTGGGACTCAAGGGGTTAATAAACACCAAAGGAACGCTCTCTAATTGTATCAAAAAATGACATAAAATTGTTTGGTTACTTATTGTATGACCGAGTAAATGTCAGTCAAACTATAACAGCACTGAAAAATGGCCTGGACAGGAAGGGGTGTATTAGGGATGCACCGATACCGTTTTTCCGGTACGAGTACCGATATTTATATTTCGGTACTCACCTATACCATTAGTGAGAGACGTGCGGTCAGGGGAGGCAGGTGAAGCAGAGCTTCACCTAGTATTATGGAGGTAAAAAGCTTTTTCTCCATTCAGAGCAGCTTGTAACAGGTTATAGAGCAGGGAAAGCCTCCCCGCTGAGTAAACTGTCGTGGACGGAGCGCTGCCTGTTAATTATAGGCGGTGCTGCATGCGGCTTTTGACAGGTAGTTAGGTTACACAGCAGCGGGCCTCCCCACTGCTTGTGTAACCTAACATAGTGAGACAAGAGCTGTCACAGCCTCTACTCTTTGTTAGAGGCATGAGATCTGTGGATGGTTTGGACCAATAGCAAAGCGCCATTGGTCCAAGCTGTCCAATCAGAAAAAGGAAAAAAAAAAACACGATCTCGATGCCTCAGCAGTGACGAGCAAGTGAGGGACAGGGAGGCTCCTCCCTTCCTCCTTCACACTACCCGGGGGTGGGGCTTCGGTGTGATATGGGTGTGGCTGGGGTTGGGTGTGCTGGGGGCAGGGCTGGGGAATGCCTCACCAGGAAGCAAAGGTACCGCACTTCACTGCCGGTAGTTCCAGTAGCATGGAGCCGGCTTCCTGGGCAATCAAGAAGTCAGGCAGTGTGTCGTTACCAGCTGCCAGGCTTCTTGATTGCTCGGGAAGCCGGCTCCATACTCTTTAGCTGGCTCAATGAGGAAGCCCGGCCAATCAGCATTGAGTGGGCTGTTTGGCTGGCTCAATGCTGATTGGCCAGGAAACAGGCCAGGAAGAGTCATTACCCACAGCCCCGCTTTGTGATTGGCCCGGGAATCCCGCTCCATGCACTGAGAGTCAGAGGAAATCTCCCTCTGACTGGAAGTTCCGGTATCCGGATAAGTATCTGAGCATTTGGGCGAGTACTCGCAAAAATACGTGGTATCGGCACTAGTACTAGTGCATCCCTAGGGTGTATCATGCTGGCACTGGGTGGTTAAAAATGGCATACACTGAATAAAAAGAAGAAAATTACATGGCCCTAAACTGTAAATAGGTGATGTATTATTAAACTTTGCAATCGAGACGCTTGCAACAACCCCCCAGTGACAGGATCAATAGACAAGAGAAATACTCTCCTGTGTGCACGGGGTCGCTCCATCACTGATAGAAACAATGAAGAATGAAAGCCAGGGAGTGACACTGTGGACATAGATATTTATCTGCCCCTGTCTAGCAAATCTGTCACTGGCATTGCACATTAGACACAATGGCCTAGCTGCATTTATCTTGGCTTTCTGGGTGTGTGTGGAGGGGGGCTTTTATGAATTTATTTTTAAATATTTTTATATTTCTTCATGCAAACCTTTTTTTATTACTTTCACAAGGGGCCTGACCTGTCCCCTGTGTAAAATAAACAATACAAAACTAAAGACAGATGATCTTCATGGCAGTAAAATAAAGAGTGCACAACTTTTTTCACTTCATCACATGGCCAAAGATGCACAGCAATGCAAGCCAGCAGGGAAGTGCCATTCAAATGGCTAGGTGCGCTGTTGTAACACTGTGCACTGAAAGCACAGTAACGTGCATTTATTGCAATGCTATAGTGTGAAAGGGCCCTGAGGGACCAATGAATTTCCCAGCTGTTTTAGAAAATTTGAAAGCGGAATGGTAAGCAGTACGTGATGTAAAATTCTAAAGAGGTCATACAATGTGACAGTAATCTAAACACATGAGTAAAAAAAGCAGCATAGTGCACAAACAAAAGTGTTGAGTCACGGGATCAGACTGACAGAAATGCTGTGGTGTGACCTAAAACAACCTATTCAGTTAAATATTCCAAAATGTACATGAAATAAATGGAAAACATTTGGCTGGGGTTATCTCCAATAAAGGAGACGCCCCTATTTACTAAATATAGGGGCTCATATTCATATATATTTTTTTATCAACAACTCTGGCTATTTAAAGCCCAGACTTTTTGTAATTTTTGGATAGAGTGTGGAATTGTTAAATCCCTGTTAGGTTTTTTTTGCTGTCTGTGTCCTCACTATGCAGATTCACGCTCTCCATTTGTCCAGGAGACCATCGTCAACTGGACATAACATAATGGGAAATCCAAATGTTTACATTTGTCATCTGAAAAGGAATAGAAGGGAAAGCTTTCAGGAGACACCTGTTCTTGTGACAACTGTCTAAGCCTCTGTTCACACCTGTGCGATGCGACAACACAGAGGTGCTGAAGTGTGCATTGTGGTGCGCTGTGGTAGGGCAGCCAATTCATTAACAGGTCAACACACAATGTGGTACCATACAACGCGCATGCCATGGATAGGTACATTGGGGTGCCATAATGAAATAATGGCACCGTAGTGCACTTTGCATTGCAACATGCAATGTGGGATCACATGCGGCATCACAAAGATGTGAACGGAGCATAAGAGGGGATTTTTCCTCTCTTTGGAAACGTTTCCTCTCGCTTCCTCTTAAATAAGAAAATAAGTAAATGGGACACCTAACAGGAGCTCTAACCACGCACTACTCTATTCAAAATAAAACAAAAAAGAAGAGTTTTGGCTATAGAAATACTTTGAAGGAAAACTATTTGGAGAGTAAAATGTACTCTTCCCAATACTTAGAGCCAGTGTGTCTATAGGTGTATCACTATAGATTGAGAACTGAGCGATTACAAACCGCTGATCGCTCAGCTCACGGCTTCTCCCTGCAGAAAGCAATGACTGTCAGTCACCAGCCCCTGCAGGGATTCCCCCCTTCCCTCCTTGTTCCTCCAGCTCTCATTGGACAGAGAGACAGGGTAGGGGCGGGCACAGCTGGCTCTGGCTTTATAGAGGCAATCAGACAGAGCGGTGAATCCCAACAACATTGTCGAGATCTTTCCTGGCTGCAGCACGGCTTTGCACTGTCAGCATATAGTAGGCATCACCCCCATTATATGCGGACTTTGGGTCACCAGAGGACATTGGCCCAAGATACACAGCAAAAAAGGTTTGGCGATAGCTCTCTTTAACTACCTCCGGGCCGGCCGGGAGTTCTCTAGATCTGAGTGGGCGTCTTTAGACGTCCACTCAGACACTTCCGCATTCTTGTGTCACTCTCCAGCTTCAGAAGCTGGAAAGAAGCTGATGGAGCAGATCTGTGCTTCATCAGCTTCTTTTGGGGTGTCCTAGGTGACATTAGGGGTCTTGGAGACCCCTGATGTCTCCATAAAGAGGACCTGTCACATATTTTGC